CCCCAAAACCCCAAAACCCCAAAACCCCAATTTTTCAAAATATGTTGAAATTATTACAAAAGCCCAAGTTTGTTCTAGTAGGCAGGCTCAAAGCTCTTTTGTTCTCATCTCTGTTGCCAGTACTGGCCACACTTAGTCCATAGCTTCAGCCAAATTTGTGAACTTTGGGTTCCATGATAAATCCCAAGATATCTTTTTACCTTCTTGGGTTAAATGAAAGAGATGTATAAAGCTTCAACTAATCCAAAAGTATGATTCTTTTCTGTAATAGGCTTCCTTAAGCTAAACCATCAAGCGAATTAAAGTTCCTGGATACTTTGCCTTTAAGAAAACTAGTGGAACTTTAAAAAGCTGGATCATTGACCTCTGATATCACTTTCATTAATTCTGTCAAGACAATTATATTCATTAAAGTTCAAAATCTTAGACTTCTTTGAGAGATGAAGATGCTTTGTGAGTCAAGTCTTAGCGTTCTTTAAATCTATTTTGACTCCAAAGTTCCACAAGTTCTTAGAAGTAAAGCATTAAGAAGTTTTTATTTGATAGACATTCAACTGAAGAACGCCTAATCTTGAAAATGATCGTCCTTTTTGATAAGTTAAAACTTCATGCATTTCTTCTAGGTAGTCCAAGAAGGAAGAAAAGCATCTCCTGACTCATAATGAACCAGAGAGATTACAAACTGGGCTCGAAGTTATGGACTAAGTGTGGTAACTACTGACAACAGAGGGTAGGACAAGAGAACTCAGAGCCTGCCTGTCAGAACAAACTTTTGTTATTTAGAAGCATTTTGGAAAGACTTGCCAAAACACCAACAGAATCATTGCGCTACTAATTTGAGATTAGTGTTGTTCTGAATTTAGACAACAATTGTAGAACAACTTTGGAGAAGCTAAAGCCTCTCAAAACATCTGAGGTGGATTAAAAAGGACCAAAGATGACAGCCAAGGCTTCAGACTATATTCATAGACATTTTCATGTTGAAAGCAAAGAGAGTTCACCTCATTTTTCACTATACATGCTTTTTATACTTCTTTGTGCGTAATCCTAGAGAATGTAATATCTCAGATTTCAGCTCTGAAAATCACAGGGATTTTCCATAAAATGCGTAAGAATTCTCGCTTATCAAAACACCTAAATGCTAGTGAGAGCAAGGCTGAAGTACCCTAAATTTTCAGTGAACATTTGAATATCTGAGGCTAGATATTTCTTCTTCAGAATCCCCCAATTTTCAAGTTGGCCAAATTTTGGAAAATTTCTAATAAAATTTATGGCCAAATGTAGTGAAGAACGTTTCAAATAATAAAGCACTGGATTGCTGCCCCCATTTTCAGCCAATCCTTTATGCCTCAATGCCGTTCCTAGTGCTTTTCTACTAGATTTCAAGGACTTACTGATCTCTAGGTGACAGTTCATCCCCTACAGTGGGATCCTAATGTCTTTGAGTCAGCATCTGTCCCAAATTATGTGCTGAGGAAAGTAAGTTATAGAAATAAGTGCTTATTCTAAGGCCATGATGGATACCTATACGAAACTTTCAGACTGATTCTTAAGATTTGGCGCATCAAAACTTGAGCTTTATAAGAACTACATATTAAGCCAACGAGGTCGGGATAACCTTGATCTCGGCTTGTGTCGAAACACCCAGCTTCTTACTTCCAGATATTAGCCTTAATAATGATAAAAAACTGTTGTTTAACCAAATTTAGCTTTATATATCAATTTTCCTAGAGTTTAGAGGGGTTTTGGGGTTTTGGGGTTTTGGGGTTTTGGGG